GATGTCGACATCGCTCCTCGCGCTCGCCGAGCGTCCGCCGCTCGCGTTCCCGTGAACGATTCAAGCACATTGAGTCGGAGCGCTCCAACCGTCGCCGTGCTAGCCCCAGCAGCCGTCACCGCCGTCATCGGCGCCGCTCCTCGTCTGCGCCGCGCTATCGCCGACGCCGCTCTTCAACGCCGGACAGTCGTCGACGCGGTGGCTCGACCGAGAGGCGCCGTCGCTCCTGCAGCCGCCAGCCTCAACGCGAGCGACGTCGCCGACGTAGCAGCCGCTGCACCAGCGTACAGGACGACGAGAACGGCCACCTCGTTTACCGAGCCGGAGATGTGCTTCGCGACCGCTACCGCATCGTCGGCTTCCTGGGTGAGGGTACTTTTGGTAAGGTAGTGCATGTAAAGGATCTAGCGAATGGTGGACGTTCACGTGCGCTCAAAATCATTAAAAATGTCGAGAAGTACCGTGAGGCCGCTCAGTTAGAAATCAACGTGTTAGAAAAGTTAGCCGAGAAAGACCCATACGGAAAGCAGATGTGTGTCCACCTCTGGGACTGTTTTAACTACCACGGGCACACATGTCTGGCTTTCGAGATCCTCGGAAAAAGTGTGTTTGATTTCCTTAAAGAGAACAACTATCATCCTTACCCGATCGAGCACGTTTTGCACATGGGTTACCAGCTGTGTCACGCTGTTAAATTCTTGCACGACAACAGGCTGACGCACACAGATTTGAAACCTGAGAACATTTTGTTCGTTAACTCTGACTACGACGTGGTAGCGGACGCTCGCCACAAGAAGGAAAGTCGCATGCTGCGCTGTCCCGACATCCGACTCATCGACTTCGGCAGTGCCACGTTCGACCACGAGCACCACTCGAAGGTGGTCTCGACGCGCCACTACCGCGCCCCCGAGGTGATCCTCGAGCTGGGCTGGGCGCAGCCGTGCGACGTCTGGAGCATTGGCTGCATCCTGTTCGAGCTGCACCTCGGCTACACATTGTTCCAGACGCACGACAACCGCGAGCACCTGGCCATGATGGAGCGGGTAGTGGGCCCTCTGCCGACGGGCATGGTGCACAGCACCAAAACCAGATACTATCCGGGCGGCCGGCTCGACTGGAGCGACCGTTCGTCGGCCGGCCGCTACGTGCGTGACAACTGCCGGCCGCTGCGCAACTACTTGTCGCGATCTGACGACGACAACCATCGGCGTCTCTTCGACGTGATAGAGGCTATGCTGGTGCACGAGCCCTCGGAGCGGCTCACAGCGGCGCGCGCGCTACGCCACCCAGCGTTCGACCGGGTGCGCGCGGCGGCCAGTGGTAGCGCGTAACAGAAAGGTGTGTGCGTTACGTGACGGGTGACGTGGACGCGCTGCGATGCGACGTTCAACCCCTGACTCGGTGGGGTTATAGCCCTTAGGGCGCACGAGTGAAGTGATTGATGCAGGAGTGAATGATTCGGTGATCGTTGTGTTTGGTCTAGTTGCTTGTCCTGGGACTGTGACAGGTATATTGATGTTTGTTGAGCATGGATCGTGTCATCGTATGAGGTTTGTTGGTGTTTCATGCATTTTCTTCTTTTTGCAGGAAATGTGTTTAAGGGTCTGGTGTGTGGATTGAAAAAGTGTTTCCTTTTGACTAACCCATAAGGTAACGTTCAATATGTGTTGCTGAACCCTGTTTGAATGGCTGGCATCGATATTCGAAATGTCGCCATTGTTCACACGTTTTTTTTTTTGTATTGCGGTTATTTTTGTCGCTGATAGCCGTTAACTGATGGACTAGTTGCAAACTCGGTAGACATGTTTCATGTAAAAATATTATTTTGTTAAAAAGTGTCATCGGGTAAATTTTGACGTTTTACATGCTATTGAAAATCTTAGGCTGGAATGTATCACGGTCCGAGTTTTCTTGTCCTGGCAGCTCACCTAGAGGTGGATAATCGTTTCCCCGACGCTCGATTGATTTTTCTTGATAGAGTTGTTTTCTATCGTTGCAGTTTGCAATATACCTACACAATGTGCAACAGCCTAGGAAGTGAATATGTGGCACAGATGTGAAGCTATCTGTTCTGCATTCACTTGCTGGGTTTGGACGTGTTTTCACTCCGTGGGACGATCACTTTAACTGGTCTGGTGATGACTTCGTTCATCAATATCTGGTGGCGAGGAAGTCTAGTTACGGGTTGGGGTCAGTCGCAGAACATTTAGATTTCATAGACCATGATATCCAACACTTCGCCACAGTCTTAATGGCGAGCGCGAGCCACGCCCACAAAGGATTGCTTTCACAAAATTTACTGACCGATTCTGCTGTACTTTTCAGGAAAGACGTCAAGTTCGTCCAGAAGCTACTAAAACTACTAAAGCTACTAAAAAAGCTTTTCGGCATTCTAGCCCACTAGACAGGAAGATTGGGGAATCAATGTTTATCCGTTCCCAAGGGCGAATTCAAATTGCTAATGAATTAGAATGAAATCCTTCAGAAAAAGAATGGTGCAAATTTGTCCAAATTGGTTCTATTCCTTTGCTACAAAGCTTATCTCACTGCGTGGTACTCAATTCTTGTTTTCGGCAAAACCGATTATTACTCGGAGATTTGACTATGCTATCACCATGAAATCATAACACGAAGAAATGCGAGGCTACACAGTCTCCACCTAAGATTTTGGTCGACATTTTCTAAAATTCCAACCATCTTGGCGGGCGTCGGAAATAACAAATTGCACTGCCTTCAAAGAAAAGTTACCTACCTAGTACCTTTTGCTACTTCCCTGTGTAGATAATTTGTGTAACGATAGACCCAGTGGAAAGAAAGCATCGCACGCCTCTGTTCCCAATCCCATCTCGGACAGACCTGACTCGAGTGTGGGTTTTCAGATAGGTGGGGACGCCCCTCTTCTCCTCCCGGCTCCCCTCCCCTCCAACTGGCCTGCCGTGACTCCTGTTCCCCCTATACCACCAGGGGAGTATCTACGAGTACTGTAGTGGGTTCAGAAGGTTTTTTGGGGCTTTTTCCCTCCCCTCCGGCTCCACTCGTCGCGTCCGAAGTTCTTGAATAGTTTGAAATTTGATGGTTTTTGGCTTTGGAGGGGGGGGGGTCATGCCCGCAGAGTCCAATGGATTTGTCGGTTAGATCCAAGATTCTTACAGGTTAGATCTGCGTTAGAAAAGAAAAGTTACTACCGATGACAAAATCCGACTGAATCTGAAGACCTCAGGGATCAGTTATCACGATCTTTTTCTCCCGTCTCCTCAATAAATTTTTTGGTTTATTAATTGCTATGATGGAATCACAAGTAGCTGTATAATGATATTATAGATAAATTATATATTTATTAATCATAGTAGGTTCTCTGGAACCTGGAGGTGCGTCTGGTCGTGTGAGGGTTAATAAAGATGCAGTGAATTAAGTAATTTTGCAGTGGTTTTGAACAGTGAGAGCTGAATTGTTACGTACCTGACGCGCTTGTGACAATTATCATCTTTCGATTTTGAACGAATGGGAAGGACCGGAATGAGTGGTACGATTTTTGTAGTTTACAATATACCTATCACCTATGGTTTATAGGATGTTCAATGCGTTGAAATGTTTATTCACTATTAAGATAAATTAATTTTGGTTCTGTTTATTTAGTAAATCCAATGTATGTGTAGCAGAGCCTCGCACGGCCCTGTTTCACGGCACGCCGCTACGGAGCGGCACACATCCTGCGGCAATGGTGTAATATGTTTCCCTTGAAAACATTTGGAAAACATCAACAAATTTGTTGGATGCTCTTAACCCGGCAGGCGGTGGGCCTACCAGCCACCTTCCGCGCGGTGGGGGGGGCACTTTTTTGCCCCCCCCCCCCGTATCTCCGAAACTACTGGACGGATCCGGAAAATTCAAACGGCGTTCGATAGCCCTGCCAAATTTGTCGAAGGAAACCAAATTTCATTGACCTCGGGGTCACCGATGACGTCACAGGTCAGGTCAAAGATAAAATGTTTCACCGTTCACGGGGCTTCTAGGGAGAGCGCTACAACACCGAGTAAAACGCATTTTGTTGAAAATCAGCAATAAGGCGCCAGTTGTCTAGTACCTATGTTGCTATTAGAGGTCACTGGTCATACCAGGTCAGGTCACAGGTCAGGTCACCAAAGGTCACCAAGGGTCACCACATGAGCCCAACTTTACTAAGGTTATGCGATGCATGTTTTATGGCCAGTTTTTCATTTCCAACTCAATGGTGTTGGTTATAAGACCATCAGGTACGGTTTAGGTCACTTTCTGGTGGAGGTCAGGTCAAGGTCAGGTCAAAAAAGGTCAAATTTCAAAGTTGATATTTTTGCATAAAATGGGTATCGATTCGATGCAGCTCGTCACGGGGAGTCTAATGGTGGTCTTTGTTTTGCGCTACGAGGTCTAGAATTGCTAAAAATTGAGTTTGAAAATTTGACGACATCAATTTTGAACAGTTTTTTCGCTATAACTTGGCCAAAAAAAGAGGTATCGATCTCAAATTTGGTATGTAGATAGAAGGCGGTAGGGGCTATCACATATATTCCGGTTTTTTCGAAATTCAAAAAACTTTTTGGATTTTTTGGCTATTATATTCAAAAAATATATTTTTTGATTTTTGGGGGTCAAAATCCAAAAAATTCGAAAAACCGAAATTACAGTTTTGTAGCCCTTTTTATTCCACACCTTTTATGTCTGAAACATTTTTCTGTATCTCTAAAGCTGTAGGCCTGACAGCTCTTCCCGCGAAACCTGTTTTTGGGTCGAAAATGGCAAAAATGACGTCACTCTGACGTCATTAGCGGCCAACCTATCATAGCCTTTGGAAAAAATTTTGGTCACCATGTGCGCTAGCTGCTCCCGGGAGGGTACTGAAAGTGTGGTGACGATCGGCGCAGCGGTTCTCGAGATATATCAAAAAAAACTAAAGGGGGGGCAAAAAATTGCCCCCCCCCCCCACCGCCTGGAAGGTTAACATTGAGAGCCTCCGAGTTTATTGATGTAGTAAGGGAAATCCAATACCGTGGCCGAAGTGTATCGCACTGATAGCATCAGCATAGCATCGTGCCATGAAATAGAGAAATTGAAATAGCTGTGGTGAGATGAGGAATTCATTGAATTGGGATGAGCTTAGAGGGAGGATTTTCAACATCAACATCCTTAGTGTGAGATCTATCAGGGTTGTTATTTTTATATCAATCGATTCAGGACTATACCTATCATTGGGGATTGTTCTATCCCTTGCCTTGGTTCTATCCACTGAGCTACAGGGTGGACTATGATATTGATAGACATCTCAATTAAGGAGCTCTTTTTCAACTTCAACCTATCCTGATAAAAAAGAAGAATAAAGCTTGGTAACTTGGTAGCATAATGGTAGCAGAATCCCTTGTGGGATTCTGCTACCATTATGATGACAGCATGTTCTGTGGAAAAGCTTGAGCTTGTTTTCTGTGCTTTGATTTCAGGTGGCAGCTGATCACATCAGTCATTTAGCATGAGCGGGATTCCGGACAAGTCATGGCAACCGCCCACTGTCAAGATGCAAACCACGTAAGTATTCCATGACCCGTGTAGCCCGGTGTAGGAGCACGCAAGCCCGGTGTAGGAGCACGCATGCTTTCCATGCGCTTTTGTGGTTGATGCTTGACTGCGGATGGTTTTAAACGTAACTGTGTCATGAATCGGCTTCACCCCCGCATCAATATTGATATTTACTTGAGATACATTCATGATGGTACCTAATACCTATCACAGACAGACCCCTAACAATAACCGAGGATCCATACATGAGCAGAGTAAATTCAAACGGATTGCAATAGTGATTATTGAGTGTGTTAGAAAATCTCTCTGACTCTCAATAATGCGTAGGACGTAGGTATTTACTTGTTGTTGTTGTGTGTCTGCAGCAATTGCTAGGGCCAGGGCACAGCAGAAATACATTTATAATGTGTATGCACTTGCCCGTGTGCCCGTGTATCCCTTTAATTGAGCGTGCGTTCGGCATCCGGAAAATGAGGGATAATTACATTGAGGGATAATTGTATCCGGGGTCACCGATAATAATTTGGCATAGCAGGGACCATCGATGCAAATAGTCACATTTTTAGATTGCTTTTGCTACAGGAATGGCTCTTTTACTTGTTGCCATGTCCGTTGTACACGGTGTCAGCTTAAAACACGATCCCGGTGATCCCGGAAAATTATCCCTGGTTATCCGGATGCCGAATGCCCGATGAGTTTCAGCCCGGTGTTCAGGGCGATGTTTCACGGCACGCTGCCAGCACGCCGCCTTTGCGCGGCGTAGTTAGGTCGCCGCCCTCTTCGCGAGGCTGGTAACGTAAGTTAGGGCCACTAAAAAAAAGCACAAGTTTAGTGGCAAATTCGGAACAACCTCATAGCTCCAACCTCATAGGAGTGTAAGCCTTGGCTCCAACACTACCACAAGCTGTGACGTCAGCTCGCGAAATGCGTTGGCAGCGTGCTGGCAGCGTCCGTGAAACAGGGCCCAGAACGACTCGCATCTTGGCGCGAGTGCCGCCATCTATGCATCAATCACGAACCTGTGGTTGCTGCTGTGGCTGGTGATGTCGCCGTGGCGGGTTGCTGGCTCGATCATTCGTTTCGATCATATGCTAATTTGCGTATTAGACGCTGTATCTGCTTTTAATGACATGAGACTGTTTCTGTTTCAGGATGGGGGAAATCGTGATAGAGCTGTATTGGGAACACGCGCCAAACACATGTCGAAACTTTGCGGAGCTGTCAAGAAGGGGATATTATAATGGTTGCAAGTTTCATCGGATCATCAAGGATTTCATGATCCAAGGTAGGTTTCGTAGGACGTAGTGTACCTTCATTTTCTTTACGCCAAGTACTATTTTTTTTTTGAAATGTGGTGTTAAATATCAATATTTTTACGTCTATTTAGGTTCATTGTCAGTATGCAAACGCCTTGCAGTGGGAATGTTTGGGGTGGTTATTTGTCGTCTCACTTAACCCTCGCATGTGTGCGGCGTTTGCCAGCTTCTAATGTGTAGGGGGGGGGTCGGTTGGACCCCCCGGACCCCCCTTGCCGTTTGGCCCCTGATCGAGCTAGAGCTTCGCGGAAAAAACGAGCGTGTTGCCCGTGAATAGAGGAAGCCGATGATACCCAATTTTAAGGTCCTAGGTCATTGGTTGACCTTCCAGGTCAGGTCAATGACCAAAAGTCGGGAAAATCGGGACCTTTTAGAAAATCGTAGTGTGGCTGCTTAGGGGTTTTTCGGGGTGCTGATCACGAATATCGTGTTAGTTTTGATCACAGATGATGTCTTTAAGCATTTAGACCAGGTCGGGTCAGGTCAGGTCAACCAGTAGGCGTCGTGACGGGTATTCGTAGTACGTGTCAACCGCCTCTGACAGCTTCGTAACATGTTACGAAGTCACCAAAACTACTTCGTAAATGTTCAAATGGTTGCTAAATTCGAATTCAGCGCCATAAATTAGCCTAGAAACATGTAAAACTCGAAAAAGTGAACCGAGGTCACCAAAGGTCAGTGACCTGACCTGACCTTCAGGTGACCTTGACACCCACCCTAATGCATGGGAGCAACATCAAATCACATGTTTGAACGTTTGAAAACACGAAAAATTTGCAAACGCGCGGCTAATGCAAGCCGACATACGCGGAATCGCGATTCCGGCCAAACATGGTCTCGGAAAAGAGGTCACAGGTCAAAGATCATTTGGGTCAGGGTCATGAAATTTTCAGGGTAGGTGTAAAATTGATCAATGCGAGGGTACTGAAAGTTTCGTCGCGATCGGCCGCTTTTTACGCGAGTTATTTGCGAAAAACCATGGGGGGGTCCATCCGACCCCCCTACACATGCGAGGGTTAACCCCCGTCGTGCCGCAGATCTGAAATTTTCTTGCAGTGCTGGGAGGGGGGGGGGGCAGGGCGTAGCCAGGATTTCCTCAAGGGGGTTCCAAACTTACAGGGGCCCAAGGTAGCCCCTAGAAATAAAAAAGTCGTCGGATTTCATCCACTATTTTTTTGGAAGTGGCCCAAATAAATTGAAAAATATTTATTTAAAAAATGAAAAAGTTTGAATGAGGGGGCAAGCAGTCCATGGGCCCCTGTTAGATAGACCCACGAATAGCTTCATAGAGTCGCTCAGCCGGTTCTGAAGGCGGACTGAGGGCCCCGTGGGTCGGATGAGGGTCATTCAGACCGTCAAAGGCCCTTACAGCCCATGAGAGCCTCGTAAGCGGGCTGAAGATCATGTAAGGCGTCTAAGGGCCACTCAGACCGACAAAAGGACCCCTTGCACTTGCAGCGGGCCTTCTCGGAACGACGTAGGGCCCTCTATGACAAACTATGGGCCCATCAGGTCATTTGAGGGCCTCCTCAAACCGATAGGGGCCCCTCAGATCGACAGTGGATCCTATCTGAGATCCCTCAAACCGACTTACGATCAGACCAACAGGAAACCAACAGATCAACAGAGGGCCCTTCAAGTGAACAATGGACTCTCTCAGGTCGATCGAGGGCCCCATAGACGTTGCCATAGACCGGAGAGGGTCCCTCAGAACAGCGGAGGGCCTCTCCCAGGTCGGGAGAGGGACCCTGAGACCGACAGAAGGCCCCTCATGTCGATCAAGGACCTTCTCAGGTGGAGAATAGTCCCTCCCCTAGGACGAACAAAGAGCCCCTCAGGCCGACCGGGAGCCCCTCAGACCGACAGAAGGCCCTTTCGGTCCATAAGGGCCTCTCGCGCAAATAGCGGTTCCTTTACACTAACAGAGGACCCTTCAGATATTAGTCAGAGAGCCCCATCATGAGCTCGCCTCAGAGGACAACTCCACGCGTTCAGAGGACCCCTCGGTAGCTAAGAGAGCTCCCGTCAAGCGATCAGGGGCCCTTGCATGCGCTCAGAGGATTTTACTGTAGCTCAGAAGGCCCACGTCAAGCAATCAGGGGCCCCTTCATACGTTCAGAGAGCCCTACCGTGTACTCAGAGGGCCTTCCTGTAGTTCAGAGGGCCCCTGACAAGCAATCAGGGCCCCTTTATGCGCTCCAGCGATCAGGAGTCCCTCCATGCATTCAGAGGGCCGTCTCGTGTATTCAGAGGGCCTTTCTGTAGTTCAGAGGGCCTCTGTCAAGCGATCAGGGGGCCCTTAGTGCAATCAAAGGGTTTCCCTGTAGCTCAGAGGGCCCCCGTCAAGCGATCACATCCCGGAACTTTTGAAACTTAGAAGGGCCCTGCCGTCAGCTTCGGGGATAGGGGCCCATGGAAAGCCCAAGGAGGGTGGGTCCCTAGGGATCATAGGGACCCCCTTCGCCACGCCACTGGGGGGAGGGGCGTTTCGCCCCCCCCCCCGTAGTTTCACCTCCCCCCCCCGTAGAACGTAGTTTGAATGTTGCGGATCTGTCCAGTAGTGTCGGAGATACGAGGGGGAGGCAAAAATACCCCCCCCCCCCCCCACACACACACACCGTCGCGTTATAAAAAGACCACCAGGGCGCGAGTTAATGGTCTTTACCGCATGTGCCTACGTCTTTTCTGTGATTTTATGTTTTTTTTTTTTTTTTTAACGTGTGCCGTTTTTTGGTCGAGAACTCAGAAATCATGGCATCAGTAGAATTTCGAAATTTAAACAAATCTGATCCATTTTTTAATTTTGTCCTAATAGGTATATTTCAACAAACCCCCTACAAGTACCCTTTTTTGCTCAAGCGCGGCGAAAAAAGGGGGCGTCTAACGCCCCGCGGGTTAAGTTCGCTGAACTTTAAGTGAAATTTAAGAAGAATTCAAGTTTATGCGGCCTTCTCCATCAGGAAAGAACGTTGACATTCTGGACGTCAGTTTAGACTGCAGTCAGCATAACAAAAAGCTTCTCTGGACAAGATTATGACGATCGATGATGTCATCCCTTTAATTTGACATCTACATAGATTCCACATAAGCCTCAATGATCCAGATCTTTGAAGCCTGCGTAGAATCTGTCGAGGGTGATAGGTATTTAGGCTAGACCAGTGTGCGGATTTAATGCGTACGGGGGTCGGGGATCCGCATTCCGCAGTTGCTACTGTACACGAACCCCAACTCTAACCGTCTGTCCTGTCCAGTAACAGCCGATAACATTGATATCGACTGCCGGTCCCTGTACAAGAGCAGCTGAGGTTTTCTGTGCGTGCCCTCTGACAGCTTATTTTTGTTCCCTGTGAGTGTGCTGGGACAATTTACTCAGGGTCGCTGTACAGTAGCAACTGCGGGTCCCCGTACTATAGTTTATCCCTCGCCCATGTAGGGGGGAGGGGTTGGTGCAACCCCCCCCCCCCCCCCCCTGAGGTTTTTCTTAGAACACGCCGAACCGTTTCAGATAGCCTGCTCAAATTTTCAGTACCTACCCTCTGGGGCATCCTTTGCGCAACTTTTGTTTTTTTTTGTCAAGGTCATGTCAGGTCACGGAGTTATGACGTCATTAAGGGAACAACCTCCGGCCAGATTTACGCTAAATTGGAGATTGCTTCACATTGGTATAAATGCCGACTGACCTGACACACTGATGGATTGTTTTAGAATCACAACTGGCTGATTTGACATTGGCACAATGTCCGTTGACATTTTGAAGGTTACTCAAGGTCAAGGTAAGGTCGGTGACCTCGGTTGACCTGTAATGACTTCTTGCACTTGTATGCCTTTTCGGGGTATTTTGATGCCCTGAATTCGAATTTGCTATCCATTTCAGGCATGGTCGGTTGTTTCTTGTAGTTCATTTTGGGTCAGGGTCAGGTCAGTGACGTCACACGCCTGACGTGACCCAATGCACAAATGACCTTGCAGACTTCCGATGCTCCCAACGCATCATTTTTAGAGTTATGACATCGAAATACACACCAAACGATAGAGAATTGATCAAGGAACACGATAGTGAAGGTTTCAAGTCGATATCTCTTACCGTTTTGCCGCAATCGGCGCGGAAATCTGAAAAGTTAGATTTTTCCTAAATTTGACCTTTGACCGGTCATAAGTAGGTCAAATGTTGACCTAGGACTAAAAATATACCACCAATCGCGAGATCTCGTTGAGAGCAATCCGTTGGTCTTTTCCGCTAAGCTCTACGACGCTCCGTTTTCAAACGCCAGGAGGGTCGCACCAACCCCCCCCCCCCCCCCTGCATGGGCGAAGGTGGCAAAACACCGTTTACGGGCGAGTTTTATAGTTTATAGTTTATATTTATAGTTTATAGTTTATATATGTATTGATGAAGACTATCGTATCATTTGTATCGTCTCTCGAAGCTCGCCTTTTCCCTTAGGTGGAGATCCCACGAGTACGGGCCGAGGCGGCGCTTCGATTTACGGCAACTCGTTCAAGGATGAGATATCCCCGGAGCTGAAGCACACGGGCGCCGGCATATTATCCATGGCGAACTCGGGCCCCGACACTAACGGAAGTCAGTTCTTCATCACACTGGCGCCCACGCAGTGGCTGGATGGGAAACACGCCATCTTTGGTGAGTAGTGTCCCTTATCACCCAGTGGCTGGATGGGAAACACGCCATCTTTGGTGAGTAGTGACCCTTACTAAGGGAAACTCGCCATCTTTGGTGAGAAGTGTCCAATGTCCATTACTAAGGGAAACACGCCATCTTTGGTGAGTGGTGTCCATTTCTAGGGAAACACGCCATCTTTAGTGTGTAGTGTCACTTATCACACAAAGGCTGGATGCGAAGCATCTTTGGTGAGTACTTAGTAGTGTTCCTTACCACACAGCGGGAAACACGCCAGCTTTAATGAGTAGAAGGTAGCCCTTACCACACCGTGGCTGGGTGGGAACCATGCCATCTTTGGTCAATAGCGTTCAATGAAACTATCCGGCTAAAAAAAAAAAAAACTCAAGTGGAATATAATCAAGTGCATTCACCTAATAACGAAATAGCATCGCCGTAATATTTTTCGCCACAGGTTTCATACATGTGCTTCATCTATGACGAAGCTCACACTTATTTCATTGACAGCATTTACTTTACAGATGTGGGCTCCTACGTTTATGACGCGATTGGCGTTTTTGCATTCACTGTTTCTAAATATCGATTATGTCAATATTTGCGCTACACGGATGTTTTTCTTGTGGGGGTTTTAATTTCTAATTATTTTATCATGTTCGGCTGACTTTCGCACTTTGTGAAGCCATTCAGTTGCGTCTGAAGATTCGGCTGCGTCCGAAGTCGGTGTGACTGTGGCGTCGTGTGTCCGTCTGTCCGACAGGCCGCGTTCAGTCCGGCATGGACGTGGTGAAGCGGATGGGGATGGTGGAGACCGACTCCGGCGACCGGCCCGTCGACGACGTCCGGATCAGCCGGGCAGAAGTGAAGGCGTGGTAGTGTCCGCTGCTCACCCTGAATCGCACCTCATCGGCCGATAACACTGGCATTGTTCACATACATGGTTCATGAATACATTACATATATTGGACTTTTTCTTTCGTCTTTTGGTTAATTCGCCCCTTTTCGGCGCTCCAATTTCAAAACTCGAGCCTCTCAACTATGATAACATGAAAAGTGAATCTACCAGACATATGAACTAGTGGTGTCAATAACGGAAAATCGGAATACCGATACCAAACCAAATACCAACCAAAACCGTGGGGAAATACCGAAACCAAACCAACTTGGGAAAATGAGGAAAATACCAACTTTTTACCGATTTCTTAGCCTCTTATACATTAGTGAGGGTTCATGATACCAACAAAATACCAAACACATTACGATTGAAATACCAAATACCAAGTTGGTATCGGTTTGGTATCGGTATACCAAAAAGTTGGTATCCGATTGACATCTCTAATATGAACCATTGCATTCCTCGTAAATCTCAATTGCGTGGAATGATAGTCTACAGGACGCAAGAAGCGGAAGTTGACGGACCCCAAACCCGCAGATACCTTACAACAGGTCGTCACCACAGCACTTGATTCCGTTCTGTCCATCGACCGCCCCCTCCCCGTCAATGCCCGTTCACCCAGAGTCTGAAAACTCCGTCTGTGGACTCTCATCACACGGAAACCGCCGCGGTGTCATATTCAGTTCTGTCGGCGCGGAACGGAGTTGCGTGTCGAGTGTTACGTCTACAAATATAGAGCGGCTGTTACAGGGTGTCCGGAAAGTCCTGGCGCTTCTCTTATATGCCGTCTAACGAGCGCTGTGATTGGTGGACGATCAGCCAATCACCGCAGGCGTGACCCCTCACTGACCGGTCAGCCGTGGGCCGTGTAAATTTGACCTTGAAATTGCGTTCAGTCATGGAAAAACAGACGAAGAGGCAACTTGTCGCTAGCTGTCTGCGCGCGGCGGCCGGGTCCGGCATGACCGAGGCGCAAGTCGCAGCACGATGTGGCGTTTCTCGGCGAACGGTTCAGCGGGTGAAAGCCAAGATCCGACGTGGGGATTCTTTAGACGATGCCCCCAGATCGGGAAGGCCCCGGTCGGTCAGAACTGCCAAGAACGTGGCTGCCGTGTCAGCGGCAATCGAAGAGAATCCGCGGCAGCCGATCAGAAAACTGGCAAAGAAGTTCGGCTTTCCGAAGTCATCCATGCACGAACTGATTCACCAAGATTTGGGGATGAAGTCCAGGGTGATCCAGAACAGGCCGCGTCTAACCGAGGTCACGCGTCTTCGCCGTCTGGAGAAAAGCAAGTTGCTCTTGAACTTCTTAAAGAGCCCAGTGACCTCCAGCTTCGTTCGGATCTTTTCCGATGAGAAGCTGTTCCACGTCGACGCTCAGATCAACCGAAGGAACTCTCGCTACTTGTCCGACAAGCCTGTTGACGAAGTGGATCCCCGGATTCGGTTCAACCCAGTCAACAAGCACCCGCAGAAGGTGATGGTCCTGGGGGTCATCGGATCGGACGGGCAGAAATGTCCCATCATCTTCGTTGATGCCAACGAAAAGATCAACAGGCTGGTCTACGAGGAGCTCCTGGACAGGCACGTCATCCCGTGGATCAAGGCGACTTACCCGGAGGGCAACTTCGTGTTTCAACAGGACGGAGCGCCCGCCCACAACGCTGCCGCCGTCCAAGCCAAGCTGACAGAGGAGCTGGGCGGGCCAGACCACTTCTGGCAAAAGAAGATGTGGCCGCCTCAGTCCCCCGACCTCAACCCTCTCGATTACAGCGTGTGGAGCGTCTTGCAGGATGAGGTCCAGGCTACCTCTCATCCCAACCTGGAGTCGCTGAAGGCTCGCATCGTGGCAGCGTGGGAGGGTCTGGAGGCGGCATACATCGTCAAGACATGCAAGGGCTTCCGCCCCCGCGTCGAGGCCGTCGTCGCCGCCGACGGCGGCTATATCGAGTGAACAGTTGGCGGAAGGATGTCTCTTGTTGTCCCCGATCATTGTTTCATCCAGTTGTTAAATATATATGAACCAGCCGCATTTGTTTGCGAAAAATTGAAAAGCGCCATGACTTTCCGGACACCCTGTATACCATCGGTTTCGTATGATACCTGATAAGCGATAAGCCTCGTCTTATTCCTCGATAGTTCGTCAAGCTCGGCTCTGCCTTCTCTAGCAGTTCCAGGCGGCCAGAACCGCTGCTTTCACGGGCATGGCCTGCCTCATCGCACTGCTAGCTTCTCCGCTATTTGACCCAGCATCGCGACGGGATGGGCGATGGGAGGGTAAGGGAGGTCGTCCATCAACTGGATCCGGCTGGGGCTCCGACGACCGCGGCCGTCTGTGAGGCCGCGCTTTGGACCGTTCCTTCGGCTCATAGTGTAAAATGGCGCTGCTCTTGTCTCGCGAATCTTCGTTTACAGCGTTGGTGTTATATTTCTGCATCATTAATAATTCCGCTGTAATGAGATATTCATGTAAGTATGATCCATTTAATTGCATTTCAGGCTGAGGCAGAGCCGCTCGTAATGCGACTTTTTAGTAGGGAATGATCGATTCGGGGCTGAAGTGCCCGCTGCGAGAACTAATGCGAGTTTTCGGGAACGAGGGGAGCTTCGAAAAAGGTAAAACATCCAGTCTCGAGTCTATAAACGGCAACAGCTCACCAGGAATGTCGAAATGGTACGAGTGGTCCTTTGCATAGACGTCTATGTCAATGTTGAATAGCTGGAAACATTACGTCCAGGGCAGGTACTTCGGGGGACATGGTACGGTAACTGGACCGCAGCATGTTTGGTTGGCACGAGGCACCCCGTATCCAGTATCGGCGGCTGAGTAAACGGTGCGTCGTCGGCGCGCGTGGCAGAGTGCCGCCGCCTCCGCCGTCGGAGAGCAGCGCTCTTCCGGGACGGCCATTGCTTCGGGTCCTATCGATCTGACGTCGCCGGGGAGGTGTGCGCGCCGACCCACTGCGCTGGCCTGCAGCCGCGCCCGCAGCGCACGGCCACGGATCGGCCGGCAATTTGTGCAACTGGCCAGCAGAGCGACATTGTGCCATTGCCACGCCTCCGGCGGGTGAGATGTGGCCGGACCATGGAGTGCGCCGACTGGTTGTAGTTCTAGCAGTGCTCTGTGTCGGAATCGAACGCGCCCAGGCCGGCAATCCGGACGCCAAGCGACTCTATGACGATCTGCTCTCCAACTACAACAAACTCGTGCGACCGGTGAAGAATACAACGGACGTCCTGACTGTGTACATAAAGCTGAAGCTCTCCCAGCTCATCGATGTCGTAAGTATAACTCCAAATGTCCAGTGCAGTCATTCTTCTGCATGATGCACGATGTACGAAATTTTTAGGGGTAAAATCATTCGGCTATAGCCAGAAAGTTTGACGGTGCATTCAAGTACGTCACCGGAAGGGGGAGGGGCAATTTGAATTCTCTCGTCCTGAATGACGTCCAGGGAAACGGGGACTACTGGGATGGAACACAAAAACGGGTTATTTCGGCCGAGCGTGACCTAATGATATTATAGATCGGTGACCTAATCTGATAGGAATCCATTGGTTTCAGGTTATGCCTGAGCTAGGAACGGAAAACTATGATAAAATTTTGTCCCGTCCGTTTGTGCGTTGCACATATTCATGAAAACCTTCCAGGAATTACATTTGTCACTCAAATGTACCTACGTCGCATCTCGGCGATGGCTAACGACCGTCGATGAACGTCGTTCTGAAGAACAACGTTTATTGCTTTCCAGGAGCTTAAATGCTTACGTTTAAATGCTGCAAAACGACTCGTATAAATTTTTAGCTTATTTCACTTATTTATAATTTAATCTTCAATCTTCCATCTATCCAACTGTCCTTTCCATCTGAGCTGGGTCAGTGACGGGTGGGCAGTCTTAGTCTAATTAGTGTGGATGGGGGAATTATTCGTACAAATCCCTGGGGATATGTAAATTGAGATGTTAGCAAAGGTGACAGTTTATTAATCGTTTCCATATGTACCCACTGCCTTCACCGTACCGTATCGCTTATATGTTGTATTGCCTATTTATATTTACATTATTTTCGTTTTCAGAATCTGAAGAACCAAATAATGACTACAAATCTTTGGGTAGAACAGGTAAGTGTTTCGTTTTGTCGTACACCTCAAATGGCAAGGCCTTATGCATGTTAGGTACATTTTGGTTCAAACGGTAAGGTGATGCTGTGATGATTATTTTAATGTGTTGTGAGATTTAAAGAAATACATTTTCGGAAATAGTCTGAAGCTCTGAAGTATCACAGAAGTAGTGAACTGGTGCATTTAAATGTATTATGAGTATGTGATTGGACAGAAAGAGACGTTTCGTCCGCGTTTGACATGTTAATGTGTTATATGCTGACAGCGCTGGCATGATTACAAGCTGACCTGGGAGCCGGCCGAGTACGGAAACGTACAGGTTCTTCACGTGCCTTCGGATCACATATGGCGTCCAGACATCGTGCTCTACAACAAGTGAGTTCCTGCCGTGCCTTTTGACGTCTCATAAATACATGTAATTACGGAGCGAGCGAAGCGAGCGTGGGTAGTCTTTCCTTAGATTAACGGAAATTTCTGAGTATGAGCGGCCGGCCGTGCGGACGCTTTTGCGAGGCTTATATCTCAGCAAACTTTTGACCGATTTACATGCGGTAATTTTTGTAGGGTAGCTTCATTCCTTCTACCAAGTATTGGACTATTCCCGATGCATGTGGGTGACCCCTGATGCACGTGCCACGTGCAAAGCGAAGAGGTGTCAGTTTTGTAATTGTTGCAATATCTCGGTAACTACTTGGCCGATTGCGCTGAAAGTTGGCATGTTGGCATGGCATGCACCCACTAGGCACTGCATATCCATGTGCCAGAGTTGGGGTGCTGCTGCACGTGCGCACGTGCAGGGGTCGTTTCCAGATCTCGAGAACGGCTCGACCGATTGCGCTCAAATTTGGTACACAGTTAGGGACCGGTTAGTAGGGTGCCGTGCATAAGTCAGTTGGGACCGATTTTGCACGTGCGCACGTGCAGGGTGTCGCTTCCAGATCTCGAGAACGGCTGGGCCGATTGTGCCCAAATTTGGCACATCGCTAGAGACCGGTTAGTAGGGTGCCGTGCCGTGCACAAGTCAGTTGAGGGTACCCTCTCGCAATTTCGCACGTGCAAGGCCCACTCTCTCGCTCGCTCCGTTAGTCGCCCCAAAAGGCGTTATACTGGTATATTTAAAGTTATACCTGATTGTAGACCTTGCTTGGACTTCTCTTTGTTTTTGGTGAACTATGTTAGCATTGAAAGCACCGTGTCAGTAAAGGCTCGTAGTATCGCTGAAATTGCCGAATTAGATAATATCGACCTATTTGGACCCGTACGATCTATCATTTGATGACGCGGATATTTATCATATCATAACAATGACAGATAACAATCGCTAAATTTGAGGGAGCAAAACATGTTTTATATATAGCACTGTGTAGACAATCCTGTTCACAAACAACACTCGCCCTCAGCGCTGACGGGAACTTCGAGGTGACCCTGACGACCAAGGCGAAGCTGAACTTCAACGGTCTCGTGGTGTGGGTACCTCCGGCCATCTACAAGTCCTCATGTCTAATCGACGTGGAGTACTTTCCCTTCGACGAGCAGACGTGTGTTATGAAGTTTGGCAGCTGGACGTACGACGGATTTCAGGCGAGTCCATGCATAGCAACTCCAATATGGAATGTAGCTGGATTGAAATACGCCAGTTTGTTATATATTTGGCTACATACGTCTGACCACCGCTCAGCCTTGAACTGGTGACATCTTTGATATTTCTACGTTGATAGGTGACTTATAATGTACAAATTACGATGGAAGTGCATCCATGTGGTAATGAAAAAAGCATCTGATTTCTATTCTTGCCCCAGTATGTAAAACTAAAAAGTCTACAAATTTTGGAAGCACTGGAGTAATGGCAATAATCCGACAAATAATTTATTTTTTCAATCATATTAGTGCGATTGCTTTTTCATTGACGGGCTGACTCGTCATTTCAGGTAGACTTACGGCACACCGACGAATCCACTGGCAATGACCTCGTGGAGGTTGGCATTGATTTGTCAGAGTTTTACAAATCCGTGGAATGGGATATTCTAGACGTCCCTGCCATTCGGTACGTTTTTTACGAATGTTTTCCGCCCGTGGTTGTGTGTGCGTATGCGTGTGTTGTCTCTTGGGGAATGGACTTTTAGGTCTGAGGTCTGTGTGTTTGTTTATATGCTGGTGGGCTATTTACTTGAATTGTCGTAAAGTAGCATTAGCAATCATTGTATAAAACATCATTTAAAATAAACGATAATTAAGAGGGTCAAACGAGTTGAGATTCCGTTTGATGGTGCCGCGAAAAAGAACCTGTGACATATAGGGACATCTTCTCATTGTATTCATTTTCGTTTACAGGCACGAAAAGTTCTACACGTGCTGCGATGAGCCATACTTGGACATCACATTTAACATCACCATGCGGCGAAAGACGCTGTTTTACACCGTCAACCTGATTATTCCCTGCATGGGAATATCGTTTCTGACCGTGCTTACCTTCTACTTGCCGTCAGACAGTGGAGAAAAGGTAGGTCCCACGTCCATGGGGGAGTGGGATGTCGACTGTTCGTATTATTTTTCGGTCCATATGATATACGAGTATGAAGATTGTGAAGTTTTTCACGCCCTGTAGAAATTGAATACGGCTGCGGACCTTTTCTGAGCGCGTGCAATCTAATACGATGTGTAATAACACTGAATAGGAGCGGCGTTACAACAATATGATGTAGCCAAACAAGGTTGTACCCACATCATTTCTGTGCACTGGCGGATACAGTAAGGCGTTCTTGGACGCTGCGGGGTGGGGGGCAGTACCATCAACAAAGTTTCTTCAAATTCTTCAAATGCGTAGTTCAACTGTGTAGCTGTGATAGCCAGACTGCCGTGCATTGCTATGATAACCAAACTGCCGTGTATTACTACTGTGATCGCCAGACTGCCGTGTATTGCTGTTGTAACCCAACTGCCAGGTATAACTGCTGTAATAGCCAAACTGCCGTGCATTACTGCTGTGATAGACAGACTGCCGTACATTACTGCTGTGATAGACAGACTGCCGTACATTACTGCTGTGATAGCCAGACTGCCGTGCATTACTGCTGTGATAGCCAGACTGTCGTGCATTACTGCTGTGATAGCCAGACTGTCGTGTATTGCCGTCATAGCTAAACTGCCATATAAAAGCGCTGAGATAGTGTGCCGTACTACCCTGTCCACAGGTGACGCTGTCCATCTCCATTCTCACATCGCTCTACGTGTTCTTCCTGCTGGTCGTGGAGATTATTCTACGTGTCCCCTACCCTGTCCACAGGTGACGCTGTCCATCTCCATTCTCACATCGCTCTACGTGTTCTTCCTGCTGGTCGTGGAGATTATTCCGCCGACTTCATTAGTAGTGCCTTTACTGGGAAAATACCTCATATTCGCCATGGTTCTCGTATCCCTGAGGTAAGAGTTTAACCCGCGCCCTGCTGGGGGTCCTGGATTTCCACGCCCTGCTGGGGGGGGGGGGTGTTTGAACACCCCCCCCCCCCCTTGTAACTCGGCTCCTGGGCCACGTAGCGATACGCGGAAGGCGGCGTTCGAAAGAGCGTAAAAAAATAATGACGAAATCACTTCGGTCAATTTTTTGGTCAGGTCAAAGGTCAGGTCACCAGAGGTCATTGAAGGCAAAATTTCGCCGATTTCCAGGTCGAAAGTCGAAAATTTCCAAGAAGCCAACGCATAACTCGGGAACCAATAGAGCTACAGCGCCGCGGAAAAGCGCATTCGATAGCCCTATTAACGCCCTTTCTGAGTAATCCTCTCAGATTTGACCTAACGTCAACGGTTTTGCCTGCAGGGGGCAAAAACTGCAAAAATAGCCGATATTTTCGAAAACAGTTTTTCTGCAATAACTTTTGACCCAAGCCTTGTACGAGCTTACTTTTACCGGCATCGTGTTCCTCTCGTCAAGACGCATCGAATGAACTATAACTTGACCTTTAAAGGTCAACTTGAAAAGTTGACCTCAGGTCAAGGTCATGACCTGACCGGAAAGGGTCATGTTGCATATCAGTCGATCCGTATCGTCGAGCTGAACACATCTAAGGCGTTTTCATCGCTCTAGCATGCCTCTATCAAAAGTTATTTGCGAAAAACTGTTAGATACCATTCGTGACCTAAGATGACCCCAGGGCATAAACAAGTGTCACGGACACCATTTTCAAGTTCAGTGTGTCTAAACCACTTGTAATTCGGTGTTTGGGAGTGTTTATAATGTCTTTCATCCAAAAGAGGCGCATTTCAATTTTCTCCCATTGACTTATAATGGGGAGGTCGCAAAATTGACCTGACCTTAGGTCATCGATATCAAAATTCTGAGATATACATTTTGTACATGCTATTGCTCTTAGCAATCGCTGAAAGTTTCAAAGCGATCGGTCACTCGGTGTAGCTATGACAGACATTGAAAATTTTTATGAGGTGAGGTCACTTCAAGTGACCTGGTGACCTGACCTTGAATGACCTTGGTCTGAAATTTTCACAACATGTGTAGAATTGATGTATGATAAGGTGTACCAAAAACGGCGGCGCTCCGCGCCGCCGTTTTTGAGATATTCGCGAAAAACCACAAGGGGGGGTGTTCAAACACCCCTCCCCAGCAGGGCGCGGGTTAAGTAAATGCAGTTTAATTAGTGTCCCCAGTCGCCATTGCTGAGATGCGGTTTAGATTAGGTTACTTGCTGGATTTCTGCACAAGTCTGTAACTGCATTTGCTTTTAAAGCACTGGGAGAAAACGGTGCACTGTGCAGTGACGGACATTTGAGTAACGGTTATTAGCGAGGAGTTCGACGCCGATCCGATCCCCCAAGGAGGGTGAGGGAAGTGATGGAGTGCGTTTGAGAATGGCTGCGCCGCATAAGCGTCGCCACGGGGGGGCAAGCGGGGCAGCTTGCCCCCCCAACCTCGGACCGGGCACCCCCTGAGATCGATACAGATCCGATGAGATTTTGGAGTCGGGGAAAAATGGGGGTACCTTTCTGAGAATGCCTGTGAGGTCAGACTCTGTTGGAGCGTGCAGTTCAAACCAAAGTCAGAGTCGCAGTCGCCAAAATCTTCAAGACTCCGACTCCAGACACGGAAATGTCAATGCCATGATTCATGCCATGTTCCTAGTTGGTTCTTTATTACATTTTGTAGCTGATTTTCATAAATTTTGGAGTGCTGACACATAATTTTCGTTCAAAGCGTGACACGAAATCTTCGGGGCCTCAACTCTCGTCAAATGTCTGCGACAGGCACAACTACCGTTCAAGTGCCGCAGGGCTCATGAGCCTGCTTTTCACACAGGCTCCTAAGGAGCTCCACTGAGCTCTAAGAAGCTTTCGGAGGGCCCAAACCGGCCTCTGAGAGTCACACTGGTCTGGTATCCATGTTCTCTAGCGGGCCCATACAGGGATCTTTGAGGACATTTTACATACGTAGACCTCTGAAGGGCCACACGAATCTTTGAGGATGCCTTCGAAAATTTCTAAAAACCTCAACTGGCCTATGATAGTCCAGCCGAACTTTTGAGGCGACAGACTTTACTAACCCTAACCCGGCTTTGAGGGGTCACAACTCACGTGTGACGTGTCCCTCTGAGGGCCGCAACACATGTTTCTTATGTCCCTACCAACGTAGGGTCCTTAAAGGGACCCTCCCACCTTCAAAAAAGTTAATGAATTGGCACGAAAGTGATGTCGCTCGGTTCAGAAAGAGCGAAAACGAATATCTACCAAATTTCATCGAAAAATATTCACCGGTTTTCAAGATATTAGACTTTTACTTTTGTTTACTTTTTGGGATCTCAACTGTTCCTAGCGACTTTATTTGAAAGTGCGGCATTTGTTGCGCGCAAAGCAGCATATACCACCGCGTGCTACCAAACGTTTTAGTAAAAGATTTAAAAATCGTTAGATCTCCGCTGACGTCACAAATTCTAAGGGGGCATACCAATGCATTAGCCCCTTAGAATCCGAAAACTGCAAGTTTGAAATTCCATATCTCCGAATTAAAGCATTTGTCGATGTTGTGAGTGCCCAAACCGGTATTTGCAGGCCATGGCCACCAATTTGGCTATCTCAACTCAAAACTAATGTTAAGGTGGGATGGTCACTTTAAAGGAAATAGTTCACTTTCACGAAATTATTTTTTTTGCAATGGATTTGTGATTTTTTATGTTCAAAATGATCAGCAAAGAAAATAAAACCTTTTTACAACAAAAGATTATTTTCTATATTTTTGATATAGGAAGAACTTTTCAGTTTCTGTAAGGCACACGCGATCCAGTATGAAAAGAGCATGGGTCCCGAAAATTCTTCAGAAACTAGAAATTATCGCGGCCACCGGCATTTGGGCGATCTGCTCGTGCTTTTGTTACTGGAGCGCCTCACTGGAGCGAATTTCTCTAGAGTTCTCGTAGATAATTTCTCTAGTTTCTGAAGAATTTTCGGGACCTATGCTCGTTTCATACTGGATGCGAATATATGCAAGGCACACATCCTCAACGCAAGACACATTTTTCGGGACGAGAAATAGAATATCTTTGCCTAGGGTGATCGTTGGGCTGTAAAAGCTCCTGATTTATGCTCGTCTCAGCCCAAGCTACGGAACTGCTATTCCAGTTCAAAACCCATGTTAAAAAGTGAACTATTTCCTTTAAGGATTCGACACAGACCCCGACGGTTCACACTGTTATTCGAGGGCTCCAGGCTCACCCTGGGCCTAGTCTCTTAGCACCCGCCGCCCACACTGGCTTCTGAAAGCTCGTGTGCCCTATAGGGCTTTCCGGGCCCACCTTAGGCTCGGAAAGCCCTAAAGCACCACATACACGTAAATATTTGGGGTGACCCACGCCGATCTCCGGGATCCTACGCAGGCTTCTGACAGTCCACACTGACCCTGAGTGGCCTTAAATTGCCTGGAAGTCGCAATCCTATCTCTAAGGGATCCCTTGCCGCTATGCCGTGCGTAACTTTTGGTTCCGTTAAATATTTTTGGTCGCGTTTGCAGCGCTTCCCTTCACTCGAAAACCAGAAACTTTTTGTTCACACTCGAGTGAACAAAACACTTCTTCTCACTGCAGCAAGGATGAATGATATAGGTACTTCCGATTCACACTTCCGACATTCTCTCTCAGTCTCCGCCGAATGCCCAATTCTTAGCTACAATCGGCGGCAGGGATAAACCCTATGCATTTCACGTAAAACCTCGGCATGCATGCGTGAATGGAGGTTTTAGCGAGGTGATCCGATTCAAATGGAGCGTTTTTCACCTTCTTCTGGGTAATGATCATGAGCGACGAGAGTCTGCACAGGGGCCCTCTGCAGTGCGTCGGCAATCGCAGCCACTGTAATTCTAACGGTCGTTTTTGTCCAGAAATTTCAAAATTTTGATTTTTTTGTAAAAAAAAAATACATGGTATAGCTAGAAGGAAAACTTTGTCACCATCGGATTCCTCGCACCATTGCGCGTCGAATGATATGTAAAACGAGTGAGTAACGGCTGGGGAAAGGCAAGATTTAACACAAAACTTGATTTTGCCCCCCCAACCGAAAATGTCTGGCGACGCCTATGCTGCGCCGGCCATCTGCAATGCAAAATATCGGGACCGAATGTCACAAAGATCACACAAGCAAGTTCCACTAGGTACCGAATGAGTACGGTATGGGCACGCAGTATTTTGTATTTTACGTTGCAAAATGGACGGGGCTAACGCGTTCTACATATTTGTCACTTTTGTCATTTGCAAATGTGGTTAAGAGGGGTGTCATTACATAGGTATATTCCATTTGGTTGCAGATTGTAGAGCAAAAGCAAACAAAATTTTGCCTCAATACTGCCCTCTAAGCGCATAATCGATATTCGATACCCACTAAAAAGTGTCCGGTTTTGCAATACCGTTGTCGTAACCATCGTCATCCCTTGTTTCAGCATCGGCGTCACCGTGGTTGTGCTGAACGTTCACTTCCGGTCGCCACAGACGCACCGGATGGCGCCGTGGGTGAAAAGGGTGTTTATTCACATTTTACCCCGGCTTCTGATGATGAAGAGGCCTCAATACCGCCTCAACAAACATGGGTTAGTGACGCTGCTATCGCCAGTGATAACTGTTCATTCTTAAGGTCAATAATTCTGCGAAGCGGGACCCCATTATTTTTGGATATCACGCATTGATGTTAACCTTAATAAAATTTAACTTTACGTTTGCCTGTGTACTAAGTTGTAATTAAAATATACCTTTCAAACCCTAATTAAAATTGTCGCTAATACCTTCCATAATTATAGGCATCAATTTTGTAACTGAGTACCGACCTGAGCCGATCTTTCCCATTTCGTGTCTGTTTTGCAGCGTTGCTCTCAACACCAGCCGCGTCTTAGTGCGACAGAACGGGAAAAGTTCGGAGGTCCAAGAGATGGTGTTTCATCAGGATGGACTGATCCCGGGTAACACCAAGCCTCGCCTCATCTCCGATTACTCTCCGCTGTAAGTCTGGCTGGCATCTTACGGGATCGGCACATTTTCTATCAGAAGCGCAAATACATACCTCCAAAGCCTTCCTACAGCGCATAGCTATAGTTCGTTTTTCTTAAGTTTGCCCCTCACTGTAAACGTCTTTTTGAACATAGCACGAGAATTGCTAGCTGAATTACTGAGAAAACTGGTTGGCGCACACTGATTTGACAAGATTTCACAGACGATCAATTTCATCAAATTTATTTACTATTTCACAGACTCGTAAATCGTAGTTGCCAACACCTACAGCCCCACAGGGCTAGACGACTTCTCAGGAATTTTGTCTGAACTAATAACTAAATTGCAGGGCGCTTAACATAACGTTAAATCGTCGGTGTTCAAACTTATTTTTGAAAATATTATTCATATCTACAATACAATGTGCGCTAACCAGTTTTCTCAGTAATTCAGCTAGCAATTCTCGTGCTGTGTTCAAAGAGACGTTTACAGTGAGGGGCAAACTTAAGAAAAACGAACTATAGCATGTATTATGCATAAGCGCTGCAACAGGTCCCGCTATGCGTTAGTGATCATAAATATTATAATACCGAACGGTCCCACTGCTTGTGTATGCGCTAACTCGGCGGAAATTGAGACAGATCGCTGACGCGTTACGCACGGCAGGCACGCCCCGGACGACGGTCTGATGGCGTCGTGCCAGGTGCACGGCCACCAGTCGTTCCTGAACGAGGGCCCCGGCATCGACACGCTGGACCTGGAGCACCGGCGCAGCAGCCGCGTGTCGCCGCTGGGCTGCCACCCGGACGTGCACCGCACCTGCTGGTGCGTCAGCTTCATTGCCGAGAACACCCGCATGAAGGAGAACTCCAATAAGGTGAGCACGGAAGGATTCGGCTCTGTCATAGATGTCGGAGATATTCTCAAACACGACTGACCTAATATTGTGAATCAGGGCTGCGGAGTCGATGGATTTTCGGCGACTCCGACTTCGACTCCGACTCCGGCTTTCAAAAACCAGCTCCGACTCCGACTCCGGGCAGAATTGTCGACTCCGACCGACTCCAACTCCCGACTCCGACTCCGCAGACCTAGCAGGGCTGCGGAGTCGACAGATTTTCGGTGACTCCGACTCCGACTCCGGCTCGGGTTTCTAAAATCGACTCCGACTCCGACTCCGACTCCGGGATAACTGTCGACTCCGACCGACTCCGACTCCGACTCCGCAGCCCTGAATTTGTGATAATATCGACTTGAATTTGTGATGTACTTTTGTGAGTTATTCCTTGGTACTGTGCCAAGATCGGAGGTTTTGTCTCATCTCAGGATAATTAAAGTTGACTTTCTTCGGAACGAGTCCGATGTTTTCAGGCTGGTCAGTCATCATGGTTAGTGTTTACTGGTAGCTAGGTGTAGAATGACCGTCTTGTTTGTTCGCAGTTCAAGGAGGACTGGAAGTATGTCGCCATGGTATTGGATCGTCTGTTCCTGTGGATTTTCACCCTGGCTGTGGTTGTGGGGACTGCAGGGATCATCCTGCAAGCACCGTCCCTCTACGACGATAGGATAGCGCTCGACCAGAAGTTTTCGCAGATTGGCAGAATGCTTCAGTGAGTATGCACTTTGTTGAGTACGAGTACAGCGCAGTGCGAGAGATACGAACGAATACAGGGTGCAACAGAAATGTCAGGTTAATGAACCTAGTTATTGGATGTTCTTTGTGGAGACTTAGATAGTGCCTTGGTGTGGCGATAGACGCTCATAGTTGTTGATTCATACTAGTGAGACGAGGATTGTCTGGTGCCTGAAAAGGTGCCCAGCGGGGGCACGTTGAAATCGAACGTGTTATTTGATGACTCAATTGTCTTATCACCTGTTGTAAAGGTCTGGATTCTTTGATTGTCAGCAAATAATACAAGTTCGACCGATTACGAGTATGTAATCAGTATACGAAAGCAAACGATTATGGGAGGAAGCTGGATTTATGCGATGTAAATAAGTAAGCTACAAAACCAACATCAGGCATCCAGTAAAGTCGCCTGTCTATCAACGAACACTGAAGCGTTGCAACGTTACGTACGCATGAAAACACCCAACCAAATTTTGTATGCTCACGTTGCTGAGGTAAATCATCCGACATTGTCCCTGTAAGTATAGGTGTGTGCCGAGTCAGCTTACCTAGGCCAGTTGCTTTGAAATTGCAACATTGTTTCCCCGCTTCTGGCAGCTGCAGGGGTGCGGGTGCACCGTTTCGGTACGAATCATGCACAATAGGCACGAATGCTGGCCAATGGGTCGCCGGTGGGCGCCATGACATTGAGCAGAGGTGATTAAATGATAATTCTGTAGAGGATAATACGATATCAAGCACAATGTCGCAAAACTAGTTAAGATCTTAAGTATGGCGCATAGTTATGCTCTTTTGCCCTAAAATGTAGAAGTTACGTTCAGTTCGTAGTACCTTAATTAATGGCAGTTTTTGCATTTTATGAACGTATTTAGGTATGGCTGCGCTGCATAAATACTGAATAGATGAAATCGGTTATCTGACAGAATAGTCGAGACCAACTTCTCAGCTGGGGATGTGACAATATTTGAAATTAATTTTGAGTTGGACGTGACTTAGATAGAATGCAAACGTAGCGATTTTCCGGAGGACAAGCATTTCAAGCAATTCACTTTACGCATATTCTAACTCATAAAACACACTTCTTGTAAGTCTACCGTTCATGCATGAAACCTCATCAGCGTTCCGACCCTTTCTCCAAATCTTAAATCGCTCGACCAAAACATCGTTCGGCGTTAAACCACGCGCATGGCCACGTTCAGTCTATATTGTTCTGTCGATACACAAAGTTTGAGCAAACTTTTCGCTTGCAGATCAAAAAGGAGATGTTCACAAACAGGTTGAGGTGCCAGCGCAGCGATATCAGCAGGATCACGGGGTCGACGATTAGCCGTAGTAGGGCTCGCACACGAAGGACTTGCGGTGGGAGCAGCCGATGTCGTGCCAGACGATGCCGTCCTGGTAGAAGTAGTTGAGCACAGCCAGACAGTACTCGTTGCCCTCGGCGTTGTCCGGCTGCGGGATGCCCTGGCTGCCGGTGTACGACCAGTTGTTGTGGTACAGGCCGACCGGGGTGCCGTTGGCCCAGTAGAACTGGTAGCCAGACCGCTGTCCGGAAGTCCAGATCCATCGGACGCCTGTGACAATAAAACGGCAACGTCAGCCACATGTCCGTTCAGCGCTGCTCAGGAGTATCATATATTATCATTTAAAAATACAGCTAGGGGACGGAAACGAAAGGAAACGCTTAGTCGGTTGTGTAAAATTTCGTGATATGGGTTATTATCGAAATGTGTAATAAATGGCTTATTCGTAGTATTTTAGTAGGTTTTTAGATCATTAGCCTTAAGGACAGTGCATATATGGAATGACTCTTGTGCTGAAAAGCCGTGTTTTAACGGATGCCATACGAATACATGATGATGATGATGATGATGGTGTAGCTGACTCGGTTGCTTTATCTGCTTTAAAAAGAACTCGTTACCGTAAACTCAACTAGTTTTCATTACTGGTTTATCGTAATCTGCAAGTTGCATTGAAATACATACATTGCACCGTTAATATGTGTGTAATTTACGGGACGGTTGCCGAATAGAAGCAGACTATTTTTAAAATGTGCATGTAAATTCCTCGTAGAGTTGGTAGAACCTCACTTACCGTAATATCCGATCAGCTGCGACACGAGGCTATCCTTCTGGTAGTTGTCCAGTGAGACGAGCTGCATGCCACGGCTGTGGCACAGGTAGTTGGCCTCGTGCCAGGTGAACTCCTGGTAGCGCAGGTACGGGTCCAGGAACGAATAGAAGAGGCCGAGCGGACCTGCAATCAACACCGCGCACCACACTTATTCACGGCATCCGGTACAAATACGACACGCTAAAAATTGTTGTCTCTCTCAGTGTTTCAAATAGGTTGCCGGTTGAGCTTTCCCCCGCTACTCGCGTCGTGAAACAACTTGATGTGTTCGTGACTATGTACCCATAAAATCATTCAACCGAATGACTGCATCAACAGGCTTCCGTTTTTAAAAGAGTCGAAACGATCACGGGGTCCTTTCCGATGATCCTCAGTGCCTCGCTCTTTTTGCCTGTCTGATTGGTTCCTGTTCAGCGAAAGATACGACTGTCGGTAGAGTATCCGGCATATAATGGCGCCCGTCTGAGTGGCTCTCACCGTTTCCGCCATAGCTCTGACCGGCGCCGCCGTACGACAGGCCGCCGACGCCCAGGGCAGAGCCGCCAAGAGCGAAGCCGCCACTGGCCGTGGCCAGGCCAGCCAGCGCCACAGTCACCAATGGGATAATCAGCCGCATCTGAAATCACGCCACATTCAATAAGCCGAACATTTAATAATGACTCATGAAAATTTCACCCCAGAAAATCGCTAAGTCAGCTATGTCACATTTTAAATATGACTAAGCTATGTCGTACTCGCAACAGTAAGTAGTGTCGTGCTCGCAAGAAAATCGACAGACAAGCAGAGCCCGAAACACCTGATCAGCAAATGAAATGAAAAGAAAAGGCAGAAGCAGTAAGCACGTATATCCATGAATGTATACGACTATAGGTTTAGGCAGTTACGGACACACCTTGCACCCCGCGAACACACCTTGATCACCGTTGACGCCGAATGGTGCTGCACAAAGCGCGGAGCACGGCTTATATACCTCGTTAGCCGCGCCCAGCTACTACGCCGACAGAAAGAACGTAATGCGCCACGCCCGTCATTGCAGACTCATAATATGGTGCAAATATCCTGCACGAAAAATGTCCTCTCATATCTGGACTCAAGGGTGCAGAGATTTTCCTCTGAAAATGATTGGTCTTAAAATAACCTTGTGCATTGCAGTAATGCGTCCAGCTCAGCAACAAGACAAAAAATCGGTATCGGTTTGCAAAAAAAGTTCACCGAACACGGCAAACCAAGTCATGAGAACTACAGGGTGTCTGGAAAGTTCCGACGCCTCCCTTGGACGCCGTCTAACGCGCGCTGTGATCATTGGACAATCGGCCAATCACCGCAGGCATGACCCTTCGTTGACCGGTCAGCTGGGGGTCGTGCAAATATGACCTTGAAATCGTGTTTAGTAATGGGAAGATGGGCGAAGATGCCCGCCTTGTCGCTTGATGCCTATGCACAGAGGCCGGGTGCGGCTTGAACGAGGCGTGGAGTTGCAGCACGATGTGGCGTTTCTCGGCGAATGGTTCAGCAGATAAAGGTTTATTCCGACTTGGGAAAGCGCTAAAAAATATACTTACGCCGGTACGGCCACGGTAGGTTAAAACTGCCGAAAATGTAGCAGCATTTCAGCGACAGCCGAAGAAAATCCGGGGTCGTCTGATGGACAGAAATGTTTCATCGTCTTCCTCAACGTCAAATGAATGAATGACAAGCTGCTCCTGGGCAGGCATGTCAAACGGAGGGTCAAGGTGACTTGCCCATAGCGGTCACTTCGCATTTCAACAGCACGGAACGCCCTTCACGCCGCTGCCTCCAAGCCAAATTAACACGGGAGCTCGGCGGGTCAGATCACATTCGCCTGTGGGCTGTGGCAAAATGAGATTAGGACGCATTATTCCTCCGACCTCAACACGATCGACAAAAGCGTGCCGAGCGTTCTGTAAAATAAGCTTCAGGCCTCTTTTCATCCCAAGCTGGAGTCGCTGAAGACACGCATCAGGCAGCATGGGAGAATCTAAAAATGTCCTACGTCTTCAAGCCCCGTAGGCGCTTCCGCCCCGCGTCGAGGCCGTCGTCGGCGCAGACGGCAATTACATTGAACGAACATGGCTAGCGGGGAGTAAGTGGCTTGGTGTCCGCGGTCATTGTTTTTATCAAGGATGCAGAGCCGGAGCCGGAGCTGGAGCCGGAGCAGCCGGAGCCGGCACATTTTGCCCAGGGCCGGAGCCGGAGCCAGAGCCGTGAAACAATATAGCCCGGAGCTGGAGCCGGAGCCGGAGCCGTCAAAGAAGCGGGCGACTCCGGCTCTTTTTTTTAGAGGAAAAAATTAAGTAACTATTCGGTTTGACAGTACAAGGAAGTAATACATGTGGTACGTCATGGGCCGTCGTCGTGAATGAAAAAAGCTGAATACGTATCCTCAGTGTCCCACAGTACGCAATCAACCTCCTGTCTGCTCCTCCCTACCCACGTCTACTGCATCCCCAGAACCTGAGAGCCGGTCATCAGGTGACGGCATTTGTTTTGGCCACGCGTGTTTAATTAGGAGGCTCCGAGAAGAATGGTCCGGCTCCGGCGGCTCCGACTCAGCATATACATTATACATCCCCTCGCAATAGAGGATGTACTGAGTCGGAGCCGGAGCCGGACTATTTTAGTCAGAGCCGGAGCCCAGTAGCGGCGGAACACCTTCAGTTAAGGGGGGGGGGGGGGGCACTGCCGACTTTAGGTCCCATTCTTTCCATGCAACGCCCATAGGGCTAATGTTAAAATGTCAAAATCAAAGGGGGGCACGGTGCCCCGGTGCCCTCCCCGTTCCGCCGCCTATGCCGGAGCCGGAGCCGGAGCCGGAGCCGGACATTTCACCCGAAGCCGGAGCCGGAGCCGATTCTTTTTTCTCAGGAGCCAGAGCCGTCTGAAATTTCCACGGCTCCGCATCCCTGGCTTTTATCTATCGTTGATTGTTGAATTTGTATGAACGGTGGTGATCATGTTTTATTTTTCGATCATCAGTTATACATATCAAAGCCACACCATGACCTACGGTTATTCACAGACAAAAACGGCATCACAGCAGATCCTGAGAGAAAATAGGAGTAGGAGTACTTGCGATCGAAAGCATATAATTTGGTCCGTAGAGCGAAATACCGCTACTTAGCGATGCGTAGTTTCAGAGATCATCGGCCAACGATGTCAAGACGCGTGTTAGCCGTCCCTGTGGCGGCGCTGTGTTTGTCCGCCGCGCTGGTTGACCTGGCTGCCCCTTGGGACGATCACGTGATGCCCGGGGGCTGGCTGGGCCGTCCGGCCGGGGCGCGGTGCCGGTGCCTAATACACGGCAGTGTGCTGCGAGACTCAGACAAGGGCGTTTGTGCTGGGAAGTACGGGAGCGCTGATGGGAGACTGTGACATGGTGGCAGCGGTTTGGGAGTTTTGACGAATTTCTGCAACATGGAAGACGGTGTTCAGTTGCGAGTGTCTATCGGCGACTTCCCGTGTTACGACGGCTCTTCTCCGCCGGAGGATTTTCTTCGTCAGTGCTGCCGGTTGGCTGCGCTTGGCGGGATCCCAGAGGCCCAGCTTTGTTGCATCATTGCTTCAAAGTGTCAAGGGGCTGCTCTCGAAGCTGTCAACACTCTGGAAGATGCGCGAGGAGAGCTGACCCTCTCAGTGTTACAGGCCGAGCTGAAGGGTCAGTTCGGTGGCGGCCGGGACTCTGTTGAGCAGGCGGCGCAAGCCTTAGCGACGCTTGTCAAGGGTACGCTCTCGGCGCAGGAGTACGGGCTGAAGATCAAACGGCTCGTTCGACTGGCGTGCCCGGACTTCCTGGGTGAAGATGGACGGGTGAAGAAAATATCTGTTCCGGCCTACAATGCAGCTCTGTATCGTCACTTCCTGGTGGGGCTGTCGCCGGCCGAGAAGCGTCTACTGTCTCGTCTGAAAGCAGTGACGTTCGACAGCTGCGTGGCGGAGTTAACCCGGGAGGAGCGCCTGCAGCCGGCGAGCGAGGTCACCACTACCTCGCAGCGGGTTCGCTGGAGCAGCTTGGAGCCACCAGTCCGCGACGGGGACGTGGGGCGTGCGCCCCAATCTTCATCACCGAGGCATCGTGCGAGCTCGAGCTTGACTCGCTCGCCACCGCCTCCGTCGTGCCGGGGGTCGCCGCCCAGAGACGAGTGCTGGCGGTGCCGCGGTCGATCCGCTTCACCACCGGAGAGGCGCCGTGGCCGGCCCCAGCGACGATGGCCGTCTCGTGAGCGCCCACCTGGCTCAAGCCGTGAAGAACATGTCGACAACTGCGCCGGACGGCGCTGCTCCTCGCCGGGCGCGGGGCGGCAGACTGCAACTGATGAGGGTCCTGGCGGTCAGCAGCCCAGCGCCCGCCGTAGTCGAGGGACTTCACCGGCAGCCAGCGGCGACACGACAGCTGGACGTCGATCAGGTACCATACGATGCTGGTCGTGTGGGGGGATCGGCCACATTAAACGACAGTGCCCAAACGGGTTCGCGGGCGGGTACAGATGGTAGAGTCGTCCCCTTTGCCGGTTACCAGGGCTCGAATAGGCGGGTATGTTATCGGTGATTGCCTTCTAGATTCTGGGAGCGAGAAAACTCTGATTGATGGCCGCATCTTTAGAGTTATTTCACCCCAGCGACCGTTGGGGCCGGCTCCCCAGTTGGTGTCGGCTTCTGGACACCCGTTGAAAGCCTTAGGTACCTGCAGCCTGCCCGTAGCAATTGCCGATTCGGGACAGAATAATGAAGTAACGTTTGAGTTCACTGTGGTGGAGGGTCTAACCCACGATTGTATTTTCGGCTGGGATTTTCTGCAATGTCACGGGGCGGTGTTGGACTGTTCGGGCGGGTCGGGACAGGTGAAAGTGAGACTGAAAAGGCCCGTTCGCATACCGCCGAAATCAGTGTCATGTTTGTGTGTGAAAACTGACCAGCCCATGGCGACTGATTTGGATTATGTGTTCACTGGCCAGCAGTGTGGTCAATTAGAATTTACTGATGCTTTAGTTCGACCGTATTCTGTTCATGAAATGCCATTGATGGTAAGAAATCGCTCGGATCGGTTCGTCACCCTGCACCGGCGAGACGTTGTCGGCTATTTACAGCCAGCGGATGGTGTGGATGTTGAATGTAATGTATCAGATCGAAATGTTTTCGAAACAAACGCTGTTTCTGCGGGGGATAGCAAATTCGTTGGAAAGGAGCCAGAGGAGGTATTAGGACAATTCAAGGTGGGTGAACAGTTAAAAGGGCCATGTCGTGAGAAGGTGGCATCGCTTCTGCAGTCATTTCCCGAGGTATTTTCGGAGAGCTACGCTGACATTGGATGTTACAGGGGTGGGGATGTTGATTTGGAACTTCAGCCAGGGACGAGACCGCAGTTCGCTAAGCCGTATCCAGTTCCGTGGGCAAAAGAGAAAGCGCTGGAACAGCAGCTAGAGCAGCTGGAGGCTAGCGGGGTCATTGCGGTGGGAGAGCCGTGCGATTGGAACTCCCCTGTTATATTGGTCTCAAAAGGAAATGCGTCGGAGTTTAGGATTGTACAGGATATGCGTCAGATCAACAAGAATCTGTTGCCAAAAAAGTTTGTATTGCCCAGCATTGACGATTTTTTATATTCACTGCAGGGATGGAACATTGCTAGTTCGTTAGATATTAAACACGCATTTTGGAATTTAAGACTTTCTCACGAGTCGCAGAAAATTTGTGCTTTCTATGCGCTCGGGAAAACGTATTACCCGCAAAGAATGCCCATGGGCTGTGCACAGTCTTCATACTTTCTGCATGTGGTGATGCATCGTATCTTGGGGGACCTCGAGGGCGTATCTATTTACGCGGACGATGTATTACTCACAAGTCCGGACGTTGACAGTCACCTAAAACTTTTGCATGCTGTTCTGGAGAGACTCAGTCGTGCCGGTCTTAAACTGTCTCCGAATAAATGCAGCATCGGCATGAGAACGCTGTCATATCTGGGACACCAGATCACGCCTGACGGGGTGTCTATTGATCCAGAACGGGTGCGTTGCATCTCCGAACTGAAGCCTCCCACAAGCGTGAGAGAGGCAAAGCGCATCTATGGCTTTTATGCCTGGTTCAGAAAGTTTATTCCCTCATTTTCGAGCATTTCGGCTCCGCTTGTCGAACTGGCCAATTCTGATTCCTTCTATTGGAATGACGAGCTAGAACAGGCGTTTCACTCTCTGCGAGAATGTTTGCTGTCCGACCGCGTACTGGCGTATCCTACACGGCAGGAAAAGGACAAGTTCATTCTATACACAGACAGTAGTACAGTAGGATCAGGACAGGTCCTTTGCCAGATTCAAGGGGGCACTGAGAAAGTTATTGCGTTCAACGGAGGTAAATATAGTAAGGCTCAAAGAAAGTGGACCATCTATGAGCTCGAGCTGTTTAGTTTCATTGTAGGTTTGAAGAAATTTTTTAAGTACCTTTCTGGCAATGATTTCATTTGGGTATGCGACTGTAAGAGTGCGCTG